TGCCCATCACTACTGCACTCCCTGTACATTAAAAAGCCAACATTTACGTACATAATTTGAGCCTGTACCTCTGTACACAACCATAGCAAATTTAAAATAAGACAATCAGGGTGTGATTGATGGGCAACTAACATAAATAAATGTGTCTTTGTCTATATATTATTTGACAAAGCTTTTTGAGAACTCACCTTTCCTCCACCAATCCCCATACCACAATTGTTGAGCTTTAGCTCCCTCAAGGTGTGGCAGGAGGGGCTCTTAAGCAGCTGCTCGATTCCTTTGACACCATCTGGCCCAAAAGCATTATCACTCAGGTCCAGCTCAGTCAGCCTGGCCCCTGCACTCATTATTGCACTCCCCATGGACCTCTGAAGCACAAGAATAGACAAAAATACAGAACAGTATAAAGCACATTAGATTGTGCATGTATGAAAACAAGAAAATTTCAGGAAGCGTAAAAGAACATCAACATTCATACACAGAAAACAGATGTGATATCCCTTTCACGCATAGTGGTCACTACAGTGGACGGCTATTCAAAGGCTGTTTTCTTGTATTTGTGTCAGTGCTGATTGCACATAAACCACCACTACGTTGGACACTGATGTGTCACTTCATACCCTGCAACCAGTGACACATTGCAGTGACATGCAAAAAAAAAAAAAAACACTCTTTGAAAAGTACATGTTTAAAAAAATTAAGTTCAAAAACCTTTTTTCATGCCTAAAGATGAATAAAAATACTAAAAAAAACCTGATTGAGGTTTTCATAATTCACGCATGAAAGGAATATTTAACAGTTCAAGAGTATGTAAGAGGATGGATTATTCCTTTTATTGGGGGTGTAACTCAGTGGCTTCTCACCAGGGCTGGTGGAATTTCAGAGCGTAGTCTTCCAGTGAACATGTCACTCCAGTAGCATCTCTGAAAGACACCAAAAATGGGAACAGTTAACAGAATGTAGTATGAATAGTAGAAAGTATGAATACTGTTGGAATGTAACAGTATTGTATATTCAAGATGGAAGAATATTGATGAAATATTTCAACGAAGCAAAAATCGTTGTAGTTTGAAACGCACTTGAAATATTAGATTACTAAGACAAATAATCTGAAAAGGTTTTTTTTACTAACAATCAAATCCTAATGATAAATGATGCTTTACTATGATGGGAAATGGTGAACTATGAAAGCACCTGAAGCATGTCTTTGTTCTCCAGAGCCTTTGCAATGGCTTGGGCAGCTTCAACTCCCAGAGTGTTTCCTTCTAGGCGTAGAGCTCTCAAACCCTGGTACTGCTTGATGTCTCGGGCCAGCTGCTCCGCTGAAAGCACAGGGATCAATTTGTCAGATTTAAGCAGTCAACAAGGATCACCTTCATGTCTACAACACACACAAGGGAATAACAGCAAAAATAATTTTTAAAAAAATAGAGCTACATATTCTCACCTGATCCTGCATTGTCAAGCTTCAGTCCAAGGCCTTTGTAGCTCAACTCTCCATCACCAACATGGGTCTTAGAGAGAGCATCAGCCAGCTGAGCAATGTCATCTGAAGCCATAGTGACTCTAGAAACATCCACAAATTACGGAGAAGGGAAAAGCGACACATTTTATAAGCTTATCCAGCAACATAAATAAGAATGAATACAAGCGCAGACACAAAAAAGCCAAATGCTGTTCAGTAAGAGTTAAAAACATTCAGCGTTACAGAAACGTCAAAAAAGTACTGTCAACAACCAAGTTAGCTATTTAGCTGTTCTGTGCTAACTAGTAGTAGTGCGCAACAAGATAAACGCTGACTAAACTAAACTACACTAAACTGAGTGTTTTTTTTCTGTCTGTTTGAGGAAAATCATCTTGTCTATGAGACACATGACTGTCTTTAAAACGCAGACGACTTTTCAAACTAGAGAAGCTTACCAAATGGGAAAATGTTAAATGGTAAATAAAGCGACAACACGCCGCTTCTTCCGCGCGCCGGTTGCTAAATGCCGTGACGTCACGCCACCAGGATTTTTTTTCTTCGTGGATTTTGTCAGCGTCTGAGTATTATCGCCATCTGCTGTTTTCCTCTTGTCTCTGCCGTTTGAGGCCTCTGTTTGAGTTTGAGCGTTGTCTTTTCTTCTCTATGCTTAAACCAGTAAATGAAGATTGTTTTTACCAATGAAAAAAAGCCTTCCACGAGTCAAACGTTCAGGTTATTATATCAAAATTCCAATATTGGCACAAAAATTGAGTTGGTGAGGCAATTTTTATTTTCCAAGTGGTGGAAACACGCTTGTTAAAGATTAAATGTAATTCAATATTTGAAAGAAGCTTTCAGTAGGCCCGGGAGCGCCTCACAGGATAAAGAAGGTGACCCACGTAGGCAGACCTCTGTCCCCTTCATGCCAAAATGTAAAGGCCCGCACAGACAGAGACAGCTAAGAACAAAAATAATGACTCCAAATGTCTAGGTGAACCCTTTAATGAGCTGTGATGACGTCACGAGCATGACCTCATGCTGGACAAAATAGCCCATGAGACCAAAATGTATTGAAATTTAAAAATAAATAAATAATATATGTATTTTATGTATGACTATATGTGTTTATTAATTTGACGCATATAGTTCTTTATTTTTGGTCCAACCCAATCAGGTCACCCATATCAGAGGAAAAGCCCTGTATTTCTTTCTGTGTTTCTTGATTTGTAGCATTTTACTTAATTTGTTAGATGCACAACTTATTATTATTAATGAATTGTGCATAAAGACTAAAGTTTTTTTTTCTTCACGTAATTAATAAATTAAAATATTAATGATGAGGAAGTCCGGGTACATGAACTATATACGGTAGTATGCAAAAGTCCTGACCTACTCTTATCTCTTTAAAGAGTAAATAAGAAGAAATTCTCTAGAGAAATGAGAACAAGTTATATGTCGTATTCAGCTATCAACAAAATAACTAAAGGTACAATTTAAAATAGGTTCTTTGCTACATGGTCTGTTATGTGTTGACAAATCTAACTCTTCTCTTGAGTTTGTTGCCTTTAGTACGCTTGAATGATTCACAGGTCAGTGTTAAATGGGTTAACAAACAAATATAGTGTTCCTCTGAAAATGGTCAGCTGCAAGTACTGAACTGGAAATGAGTGATAAAGCAGTGAATGAAGGATCACTGATTACTCGTTACAAGAAGATCTAGTTCCTGGAAGGAAATGCAAAGACATAAGGGGTGGCTCAAGACTTCTGCACATAACATCGTAGGGGAACGGTAGTAATTTACCAACACACACAGTTTGACACAGTTTTTGCTGCCCTCCTGCGGTCATAGGTCTCTTGTGTCTAGATACTTGTTGCCATACTGCACTGGCCATAACAGCTAGCAGCGGTAGCCAGTAGTTGAGTTGTATCTACCAGCAGCCGTAGCAATAGCTGGAAAAGTCGCTCCGTCCACACACCAATGACAGGAACACTAAACGTAAAAATATGCGCAAGGTTATGTATTGATAATTGGCTGCTTTTTCTCATCGTTATCGCCAACGCTGCATGAAGGGATCTGTGATTTTGAAAAGCGCAGCAACTGAACTCGGTGAGTTGCCGTGCTCTGTCTGGACAGGGTTTAGCTGTTAGCTTTAGCTCCACTAGTAAATGAAGTCAGCTAACTTACCCGGTAGCTAGGTAACTCTGCTTTCGTCCAATGCCCCTTTATATGTGTCACCTTAAATAGCTAAACGAGACTGTACGATGCGAGTGACTTCTATAGGAATTAAACAGTTTTCAAAGCTCCCTTTGCTTTTCTCCTCTTTACTACGGCTAAGTTACAGTGATTAGCATGTAGCCGAATTAGCTAGTTTCGTCCACTGGCTAATCCCAAATATCGGTAGAAACACTCATGTAGTGGTTTTCAGCGTTAACTGCATTAGTAGCTGACCCGACTCAAGCTGCATGTCTTATATATATTCTTATCTGATGGTGCAACATTCAGTACGAGCTGAGAAACACGTTCACATGACACGCTAACGTTAGCTATCCTCATCATAGTCCCAACATTGTTTTGGTTGTCGTTGAAAACATCTACGGGGCGTTTAAATGCCCCCCTTTAAAGAATGTCCGCAGTTTGTACGTCGATTAATGTTATTTCTTGCGTAGAGTCTCATTCCCCGGTTACGCTAAATGTTCACCCCACTAACATCAATTATGGCAGGCTTCACCGTGAGCTGACCCCGCTGTTTGTCTAGCATGTTGTAGTGCCAGGCCTTGGCGTAGGACGGGACACAGATGTGTAGCAAAGAGCGATGCTTAGGCTGCCGCTGTCAAAGCTGTAAACATTGTTGTTCAGAAAAAAACAAAACAAAAATAGGTGCAAGTCAATCTTGTCTTCACATTTAGGATATGGATCCTGAACGGCAGAAACGAAGAGAGGAGATTCAGAAGGCCATGAGCTTTATCCAGTAAGAGAGAAATATCTGGAGACCACCAGTGATTTCATACCAAAGTATATAAATTTTGCACGTGTAGATGTTTGACACCTCTCCTTTCCTATCCATAGGTCTTCATTGCCTTTCCCAGAGCCAGAGAGTTATGAGGTATGTGTTGATCTGGTTTATGCTTTTTTTGGAGCTTCATTATCACCATTTTGTTTATGTAATATTTACACGCAGACTGCCACATGACAGTACCCACATTTTGTTCTAATTTTACCCAGGCCAAGGTGTAAACTTGAGTTCAGACTGTTTTTAAATTTGTCCTCAATCTGTTAAGCATTCCTCTTCTTATTCCACATTCGTTTACTTTTCTTTCTGTCTAATATTGCCTGTCTTTTTTGTTTTGTTTATGTCTCCTCATTTCAATGCTCATTCAATCATTTTACCCACTTCTTACACATCCCTTTCAGGCATTTCTCACTCAGTTGGTGTGTAACTTACTGGATGAAGGGAATTCTTGTTTTCGGGATGGAGACTGGCATCAAGCGACCCAGCAGTATGGAGAGGGGATCAGTGTTGCTCGCTACGCCCAGGCTGAGGCTCTCGTCATCCCCCATGAGCTGCTCGAGAGCCTCTACGTCAACAGGGCTGCTGCCTACTACCAGATGGTGAGAAAGAATGGGAGTGGGATGGATGTGTTACCTCCCAAAGTACTTAAAGATGTGTTCATGTGGAAGACTCGAAATCTGTAGAGAGTGAAGTCTCAAGTAAACCTGTAGATACAAGTTTCAAGATTGGTGTAGAATTATCATTACATGTAATTGTACCTTATTAAATCACCTTTGGTGGAGGTATAGGTTATAACTTTTCCTGTGTTTTTCTGACTCAGAGGGAGTACGATCGCGGCGTTCAGGACTGTGACAGCGCACTGTGTGTGTCAGAAGGAAGTCGCAGGGCTCTGTACCGCAAAGCGCTCTGTCTGAGGGAGATGGGACAACTCAGAGAGGCTTACACATGTGGAACCAAATGTCTCCTCACAGCACCAAATGTATGCCACCACTTAAAACAAAGACTTATCATTTAATTTTGAAGCGGAATGGAATACTGTGTGAATATTGTGCTACTGATATGATAACTTCATGGCTTTTACCTATTCTGAGCATCTTTTTTTTTTTTTTTAATAATTAATCTTCCAGGACAGACAGGTGAGTGATCTGGCTCAGGATCTAGCCAACAAACTGGGACTAAAGGGTCGTAAGGCCTACGTCAGCCCACAAACGGAGTCTACGGCCACTGAAGGTGACAGTCATGGAGAGACTTCCACACCCACTGGAGAGGTAGGTGCTGCTGTCACTGTGTAAAGTTTGTAATATAATGAAGCGGCTGAGTGAGAGCCTGATGGGTTCCTCCTTTCTTTAGATGTCCTCCAATGGAATTGAATCTCTGGGTGACATTTCACCAGGTATGTCAGGCTGCCACATGTTGAACTTACCTGCTCATCCCCAGCCCCACTTGTTTCTGACAGTTATGTTCTTATTTCTCCTCCCCAGCAGACATCTCCAGCGCACAGTGCATCCCCGCTCCTTTGGCTACTCCTATTCCAGTCAGCGATGACCCAACGACCACTGTGGTAACCTCATGCACTGACCTCTCAGAGAGCCCCAGCAGCCAGGTGCCTCCCATGCAGTACTCGGTCCCGGTGTCAGAGCACATGGACGAATGCAGCAGTAGTGTTATTAAGGATGAGCTAGACAGCTTGTTAGAATCCATCCCCAAGAAAGTCAGTGAGGTGAGTGCAGGAAAAAACGATATGACTCGGCACTGTGACTAAACTGGACAGTATTTCTAACCCTTTTATTTCACCAGGAATGATCTAAACTCGGCATATTCCTGTGTCTCCTCCAGACTCCAGTGGGTGCTATTCCCACAAACCTGCCCAACACAGCAGTTGGTCTCCGGCCTCCTTACTCACCCAGCCTTCCAGCCCCTTCATCCCAGCTTTCCCAAGCCTTTTTTAGCTCTTCGATCAGCGACATTCCTCCTCTGGAAGCTTACTCGTCGCTGCGGGACCAGGGCTCCACCCAGGCGCAGGACGCACTGGGAGGCTTTTCCACGACGTCGATGGAAGGAGAAGGGAAGGCAGGAGTCGCCGCTGGGGGACTCGACTCATTGTCAGAGTACACTCTCCCTGGTGAGCGGAAAGGGAAAGTTTTCATGAATGGTTTGCTGCTTGACAACACATGTTGATCTAAGTAAAAAACGTTTGTGAAGAAAAAGCATTTAAGGGTTTAAAATAAATTGCACATGGAATGCTTATGTGCATAAGGATGCTTATGCAGTTTAGGATCTGATGGTTTGCACTTAAAATGACTTAGTGCAGCTGCAGGAATGAAAGTGTGTCGATAAGCATGCCAACTGCGATTTAAGTACAGTATAGACGATATTACCCCATACCAATAGGATGCACATTAATTAAATTTGACCCAGTACAATGATTTTAAGTTGCTTATCTGCCAGAGCACAGTTTCTAGGGAGCTGGCTTTAACCTGAGATATGCATCATCAGCAGACGGTGTGAGTCAGCAAC